AATCAGTTCTTTTTTTTTTAAATAAAGTTTTATTTAGGTTTTCACACATACAAAATACAAGTAAAACATCTTTTTTGAAAATAGAATGGTCCTGAGTTGAACTTCTTTATACAGACACAAACAAAATTTCATGCTCCTTTTGGTATTCTATTCCATATCTTATACTATTTTACATTTTCTATATAGTTTTTCCCCTCTTTTAATTTTCTCAATTTTGATTATCTCATCTCAATTCAAATCATTATATTTATACTTTTGTCTGTTGTTTCAATTTCATATCTTTTCTCATTAAACAAATTTGTTTAATGAAGTCAAAATCAGTTCTTAACAACCATATAGACCAGCGGTTGCCAACTGGTGGGCCGCAGCCCACTGGTGGGCAGTGAGAAAATTTTGGTGGGCCGCAGAGAGATCTCACCCTCAGAGCACCCCCCCAAAGCAATTAATCCAGGCTGCACAGAAACACAAGTCTGCACTGCCCACATGGCCCGCGGGAACCCTCCCCGCCCACTCCTTACCGGGCAAACTTGCCTGCTAAAATTGCTATTTTTCCTTTTTCCGACCATCATCTGTTCTGATGTACCAGATTTAGATTAGCCAAGAAGCAGGAAATGGTTGGATTTCTTGTTTTTTAGATCTTCGGCTCTGCTTTTAAGCACAGCCGAACCTCCCTTAAGACTGAAGGTTCTACTGTTCAGTGCAGACTCACAGCAAGCAATGTGACAGATTGAGCTAGCTGATGGCAGATAGATGGATCACTGAATGATTCTGTGAGCAACTCAGTCTGCCTGCTTTGCCTAATTTTGGGTAAAAGTTCTTTTTTATGTAAAAAATTCAATATTTACATACATGGTGTATGTAAATACATGGTGTATGTGTTGTGAGTTAATTTTGTGAGTTTGCTTGCAAGCAATTTTTATGTGACAGACTGAGCTAGCTGATGGCAAATAGATAGATTTCTGAATGAATCTGATTCTATGAGCAACTCAATCTGCCTGCCTGCTTTGCCTGATTTGGGGTAAAAGTTGCTCTTTTTAAAAAAAAAATCAATATTTATATAAATATTTATAATATTTACATACAAGCCATGCCCAGCCAGTCCACCAAGCCACACCCGCAAATTAGGCCACACCCACAGAACCGGTTAGTGGTCCCTGGGATTTAAAATTATGACTTTGGTGGTCCCTGAGGTCCAAAAGGTTGGCGACCCCTGATATAGACTTCCAGAGTGATCTATCCCCAATCTAGTCCTTCAGTTCTTCCAATTGGGTGCTCATTGCTGCTGTGACCAAGCCCATTCACCTTGATACTGGCCACCCTTTTCTTCTCCTTCCATCTTTCTCACTTCATGGATTTCTTAGTTGTGCCATGTCTTTGCATAAAGTGTTAAAATTTGTTGAGTCTCGAGGGAAAACTGGATTGTTAAGTTCTATGAAATGGAGACTATGCCTACATATATTTGGGGGTAACCTCAAAGTTTTTCTCTACAACCAATGCAGTTCTTGACTCTTGACAAATGTATCTTTTATGTACGCTGAGAGCATTTGCACCAAGACAAATTCCTTGTGTGTCCAATCACACTTGGCCAATAAAGAATTTTAAGAGTTAACATTATTACTTCATTAACCACATGGTGGAGCCACCAGCACTTCATTATATTTCAACTTCAATAGTACTCCCAGTAGCTTAGCATTAGATGCTGTTCCTCACATGGCTAGTTTCATTCTATGCGACAAGAAACCAGCATGTTGGAAGTATGGCATTTACTTGAATTAATATTTTTACATTTCCTGCTGCAACAAGAGATTTGCAAGACAAATTTTGCAAGGGTATGTTATTTCTCACTTTTACTTCCCAGCATATTTTTTTTTGAAAGATGCTACATTAAGAGTTTGCTATTAACGAAACTTGGTAAGATGAAACTTATGGCTGGAATGTACTGATGGAAAGACACACACAATTCAAAAAAACCAGACCTAACAAAAGAGGAACTGGAGTTGCGTTATATAGGGTCTCTATGGCGCAGTGATTAGAGTGCAGTACTGCAAGCTATTTCTGCTGGCTGCTAGCCAGCTGCAATTTGGCAGTTCAAAACTCACCAGGCTCAAGGTTGACTCAGCTTTCCATCCTTTCGAGGTGGATAAAATGAGGACCTAGATCGTTGGGGGCAATATGCTGACTCTTTAAACCGCTTAGAGACGGCTGTAAAGCACTGTAAAAACGGTATATAAGTCTAAGTGCTATTGCTATATATAAAAGACAATTACATCTCTATAGAAATCCACGAACACAAGGATGAAAACCATCTAGAAGGCATAAGGGTCAATAAGAAAAGGAAAAAGCAGGGGATTGGACTAGACCTCCAAGATCCTTTCCAGCCCTCTTCTGATTAATAAAAATCCTTTCCCCACATTCTATAGCTTTGATCCTGCTTGACCAGTAAAGTGAGAGAGGGGACATCTGAGAAATTCTGCTCATCTAGAGAAAGGAAATCACAGGGAGTAGAAATTCGAGTCTGAGGCCTGCGTGCTGAGTCCTGTTTCCTCTTAAAGCACTCACTGCTCGGGAATGACGATGTCTCATTTGCCTAGGTCTTAGGAAGATAGTGACTGATGCTTAGGCCAGACTCCAAAGACCAGATAGCAGGAACAGATTCCTGAATCAACATTCCTGACAGAAACCTTTCCCTTCTCCTTGACTGCATATTCATGTGCAAAATGCTTGAAGTTGCTGCAAGTTGCTGTCATTATCTTGAAGCAAACAATATCAGCAAACATACCATCCCAGTCAGGAGAAGAAAGCGAGCAGATTGTCTTGACAGGAAGTTTGTGAGTGATCGAACAATCTCATGTTTGCTTTCTGCCTATTGATTCGGGATTAAACTCCAGAGAGAAGCCAGATGGAAACCATACAATCCCAGTTCCTGGAAAATCTTAAATCCTTGGTTACTATAGCCAGCAACAACAGCTTTTTCTCCAATTCAGTCATGTCTGAAGTTATTTAAGATAAATCCACATGTGGTAATCCCTCAGCACTGCAATAACTATGCAACAATAGTGTCCCCAAAGTGCTTTTTCCAGAGGCAACTGGATTTTCTGGTTTTTCTCTGAAGACATTTCGCTTCTCATCCAAGAAGCTTCTTCAGCTCTGACTGGAAAAGAAACCTCTTCAAAGAAAAACCACGAAGTCCTGTTGCTTCTTGAAAAAGCACCTTTGGGACAATCGTAACCTGGATGACTGAGAATCTGCATAGAAATATGTAACAATATTATTTGCATGCTACACGTTATGTATTTGAGCTGAAGCTTTTTGAGTAAGAGGCAAACAAAGAGATTTAAAAAAGTCTACTGTTATAGAATGGTTGTCTGGGTAATTGAAATCCGGATGAGATGCCCCTGTTGCTTACTAAGTTGTCACACTTTGAATCAGCAGTGGTTCTTCTCCCTATTTGTCATAAATTGCACAAAATATTGGAGATGGAGTTACATCTTGGCCTGAGAAAGAATTTAACATCTGTTTAACATGTTAAACCAATGTTTGTATCAACAATCAGCTGTATCCCTGTCAAATTCTTTATGGATATTTTTCCTCACTGATGCACACTGGTAATTTTTCTGAAGAAGTTCATTCGAGATGAAATTTGCCTATGAGATGTCAAAAGGCTCGAACAATGTTACACGGAATACTATAAAAAAAACAACAACTCTACAATTTTTATAAAAAAATAATTCTGGATAGTCTGCAGCTACTCGTCTTTATCTGATTCCTCTCACCTGATTTAATTGAAGATATTATTGACAATTACACTGAATCTGTTACACTGAATAATGAAATTAGTAATTATAGAAGCTAAAATGTAGATCTGGAAGTGAAAAATTTAATCTCTTCCCACACATCCCTTCCCTATCTACAGCAATTGGACATTGCACAACTAGGGGTGCAGTTGTAAGGAAAGGAGAAACTCTGTATAAAAGAGTTCTCTTAAAAAATAATAGATCATCTAGTTTATTTATAAAAATAAGGCAGGATAAAAAACCTTTGAAAGTCTAGAAATTCCAACTTCTACACACACATTCTATTATCTGAATCTCACAGTTCATATTACTACAAAGTTTTAATGATAGAAAAAAGACATATTTTGCTATTAAAAATATTGGGAAAATGAAATATATACATATATATTTAGTATGAACAAATGGCTAAAAATTAGGGAGCACAAATCCTCTGGTTCTGCTATATAAACCTAACTAAATTCTATTTCACATTTAGCCAAATTCTTACATAAAAGGAAATGTGTAAAACCACTGCACTGGATAATCACAAGTCACAAACTGCAAAAACTGTTTTCTACATAATTTTTTTAACAGATTTGAACCATAACATAGTGCATTGTAAAAATACAGCAATACAATGTAAAAATGCAGCTATACAATGTATATTATAAAAAGAACTACAATGATATGTGTACAGTACTGTAATGCTATAACCAATAGCAGTAATACTGAACAGATTAATGGAAATTAAAAGTACTGAACAATTGTCAGAGTTAAGCCCAGGATCAACACCAGATTTACCCCCTGTATAAATACTTTCATCTCAAAGTTTGAGAACGTGACTTCACATTGCCCAAACGACATCTAGGACCTTTGACCATTTATTTTTTAGCTTTATCATTTCATATTAACATTTTTGATCAAAACTAAAACTCTTACTATCTAATTACTTATTGGATAATTTGATTAGTTAAGATTTGGATCAAGGACTTAATAGACTAAAAAAGTAGAGGACCCAAGGTTGTGCACCCATGAATTAATATGTAAATCAGAACTTTTGAAAATAGTCATCGGTAAACAGAAGACAATAAACATGTCACATTTTGTCACTTTAAAATGGGGTCCAAGCAGTTCTGGTATTGCTGCCGGTTTGCACCAGTTCTAGCAATCTGGTAGCCCCAGTCAGCAGTTGGCCCTGCCCACCCACACCCACCCTTTCCTGTCCTATATTTCCTTTGTTTGTAGCTCAGCTGATAGGATTACCACACCTCAGCTGTTTTACTCACCGGTGCTGACAGTAAGTTTTCAAGCTTAAAATTGCCTATTTCAGAATGCTCCATACACATCCACAGAACCGACAGTAAAAAAGTTTGAATTTCACCACTGGGTCCAAGTGAAATGGTTGATGCTATAACAACGTAGCCTCTTGCAGGAAAAGATCAGCTTTTTGGAGTATCTCCCGATATATGGAGAAGCTCCAGGTGAACTTTCCCTCACAATGCAAATCTGTGTTTGTTTATTTAGAAGTAAATCCTACACTACAGGTATCTAATCTCAAAAATTGAGGCATGAGCAAATGCATTTAAAAAACAAAAAATAATAATTGGCCTATTTTCCCTTTTCCACGCAAAGCATGAGACTGGTCCAAGACATTTTGTGTCTGAATATAAAGTCATAATCTTTTTGCTTCTTCATGAAAGAAAGAATTGGCTTTCCTTAAGAACACTACAGATATAATCCCCCGAGTCATACCTCACTCTACCAAGTTCATTAATGATAGTGGATCCTGCCACCATGTTAACCTGAAGACCTTTCAGGGAAGCCTTTAAGAATCTATTCTCTTCTAGGTTTTCTGGACTGCAGGACAACAGGTTGGAGTGGTTATTTATACATCCCTTCTGATAACTTAAGAGCAATATTATTTAATACTGATACTAAGTTTAAGTCTGTGTTAACTAGCAGTATTAACACAAAAACTCCACTATTTGTGGAGCAGAATACACTGTATTTATCTCTCTGAGTAATGAATGGTATCAATATTGGGACCAGCCCAGATTTTACTGTTTATTATTATAGCTTTCATGAAATATTTACACAGATGCAATTAAATGTTCCATAAAGTGAGGGATACTACCAGACCTACAGCCAGTTTAAAAAGATCAGGAGGACCAAAAAAAGTAAGGAATTTCTTACTGCCTTTTCAAGATAGATTTAGAGAAGAAGAGGGAAAAAAATATAGGAGGGAATCCCTGTCTTCCTTTTGAATGCAGGTCTATTCACGTTTCTACATATGACAGAATGATGGTAGTTAATTCCTGTGACCGGTGTGCTTGCTCTACACTACAGAAATCTACAGAAAGAGACCTAAGTATTTTTCCATGTCAGGGGAACAAAGATTTGAAATCTCGATAATGCTACCTGGTAAAAAAGGGAGAGAGAATGAAATTCTATGTGCCTACTGTTTAAATGTGATGAGAGGGGAAAAAAATCTGTACTTTGCATAAATTAAGCATGTTTGTACAATTGTTTTAATTTTACATCACTGGTTATTATTTTGCATAGTTAGATCAGTTTGACCAGCACTGGGAAAATGCAAGGTAAGTGAAAACTTATTCTATTGTCTTTCCTGCTTCTGGAACTTTATGAACACATTTATTGTAAGATCTAGAAACGTTTTTCCCCAGTATGAATAAAATAAAATCCTGGTATTTACGCTATATTTAATTCTAAAGCTGGTATCATGTGTTGCACTCATGCCATACTAATACTGCCTGTTTTTTCATTGCTTGGTCCTCCACAGCTTGTGACACGAGTACTGCTTGGGTAAAGTAGGGCCTAGAAGCCGGTCCTGGGTCTCTGATGAAGGGCCATGTACACCATTGGGGATCACAAGCAGTGCAAGATTATCCCTAAAACCCTAAGTAAAGCTGAAGATGATCCAGATATTAATGACTAACATCCACTTTTCCAACCTTTAAGAAGTTCATTTATCACTCCAGATGAAGTTTACTTTTGGGGAAAAAATTAAATTGCTTTAAGTCTAATTGTGACACTTCGTTACTATGGAAAAAATTCTTACTGATTTTATTTTATACCACCATGATCCATGATGTCCTGGATCAGGTGGAATAATATTTTACATTTATAACTTACCTGTGAATTTTACAGGCAAGTAAAACTTTTTTTAAAAAATAATATAGATGGGTGATATTGCCCAAAACATACAATTTCGTACAATTCTATATTAAGAATTATGAATTGGGCTCCTTGGTGAATACAATTATTTCATGTACAGGATTTGAGAATGATTTGGCAATGATTGTTTTGAAGTATTTAAGTACTTAAACAACTGTAGTTCCTCCCTAAATCCCTTCTGTCCAGCAATATTGACTCAAATGATTAGGAACACTGGGCATGGTTAAGATCAGTGGGCTCAGTAAATATTTAGATTTCTGTGAAAACCTCGAACTTCCTTCCCAGATAGCTCAATTTCCTCTACTATGCAGAATCTGTTGTCTTCAGCTTAACTGTCCTCCTCTTTACAGTCTGGCAACATCCCACAATAGCTGAGTCCAAGCTTTCTTGCTTAAGATGAGCTGTACTTGTTACTGGAGCGGAAATTGTCATATCCGTGGTCGTTTGCTCTGAACTTTAAGCAGGACTGTTTCTCCTCCAGGGATAGCATGTCTTTGGAATGACACCAGCAACAAAGGCATGACTGCAAAGCAGAAAGATTCTCAATTAGAAAGGCTGTTTGTACATGCATTTATACATTTACCCAGTGCTCTAAAACAGCGGGCCCCCAACATTTTGGGGCCTAGGGACCAGTTCCATGGAGAGGTTTTTCCGCAAACAGGAGTGGGTACTGTAACTACATAGCCAAAAAGGCATTAAGAGTTGTTAACCTAATCTTATGTAGCTTTTTCTCTGGTAATATTATACTAATAACTAGAGCATACAAAACATTTGCTAGACCAATACTTGAATACAGGTCATCAGTCTGGAACCCACATTACGTATCTGATATTAACACAGTTGAGAAAGCCCAGAAATATTTCACAAGAAGAGTTCTCCACTCCTCTACTCGTTGCAGAATACCTGATGCCACCAGACTCGAAATTCTAGACCTAGAAAACCTAGAACTACGCCGCCTTTGGTCCGATCTAAGTATAGTATATATATAAAATCATATATTGCAATGTCCTACCTGTCAATGAATACTTCAGCTTCAACCATAACAACACAAGAGCAAACAACAGATACAAACTCAAGGTTAATGGCACCAAACTTGATTGCAGGAAATACAACTTCAGCAACAGAGTGGTCAATGTCTGGAATACTCTACCTGACTCTATGGTGTTTTCCCCAAACCCCCAAAACTTTAACCTTAGACTGTCTACTATTGACCTCACCCCTTTTCTAAGAGGTCTGTAAGGGGCGTGCATAAGCGCACCGTGCCTACTGTCCCTGGCCTATTGTTTATTTTATTTTTTTTATTTTTCTTATATGTATCCATGTATTCATAATTATGTTTTTACTTATATCTATTATCATGTAAGCAATTGACAAAAATAAATAAACAAACAAGCAAACAAATAAATAAATAAAGCATGCTGTCTGCATTCCATGGATGGGGCTTTGCCTGTTTGCATGGACCGGATGCTAACATGCCATGGACCGGTGCCAGTCCACGGACCGGGGGTCAGGGACCTCTGCTGTAAAATACAGAACCATTATTGACGGTTCTTTCACAGAAACCAGGACCTAAAAATTCCAAGGGGTCAAGTAACTAAGCGAACAATAAAAAAATATCTTCCCACCCACCCTGTCCAGCTACAAAATTCTTCATGCCCATTTGATTATGAAAGAGAGGAGATGATGCATATTCTTTCCAGAATCTTTTTACAGCTACGTTTAAACTTTAACTTTAAAGTTTAAACTTTGAACAGCAAAAGTCCTGACAGAGACATCTCTTTCTGAGCTCCCATGAGGGATTTTCATTTCTCACAGCCCTTCACACAGATAGCCTGCCCTACGTGAACTCTATATTCCTGTGAGTGTCATTTTTGTGAGCCTCTCATTGTTTACCAATATTGTTTATACTTGTGATGAAGGAGGAAGTTGTTTATTTATATATTTCTTTTTCTTCACTATATTTTTATTTTTCTTTCATTTTTTTCTCTTTTTAATTTCCCTTTTTATCCTTTTGGGTTTTTTACAGTTTGAGTTAGTTTTTATCTTTTTACATGTAATATTTAATAACATTCACCAAAATAATAAAGTATTGCCCTAAAAAGGACAACATTTATATATGTATATGTATATGTATATATGTATGTATGTATGTATGTATGTATGTATTGGTGTATTGAGGAAAAACTGTTTTACTGAACCCTGTGTCTGTCATTTTTGTACAACATTTTTGTATTTTCCATACAAACAGACTCATAATCAAAAATGTTCACATTTAGACCTTTCCCTGCAGTGACTGATTATAATCCAAAGCACTGTTTCTACACAGAAAAACATTATAAATGTGACTCTGAACTTCTAAATGTTGATATTGTTCAGTTAGGGAAGGACTAGAGGTATTATTTTGTCATATTCAAACCTGTAATAAAGTTTTAGATTAATAGCAACAACAAGAAAATAGTACATTTAAAAAATTCCTTTTGCTTTATTCTATTTTCCACTGAGGGTTATCCAAGAGGAACAAGAGGAAATTATTCTACCTAGTTATCTTTCCTTTTTTTCCAACTTCATTCAAAGAAACTCTGGATATTTTGGTTTTCTACTGAGATATAAATAAGTTCATTCTTAGCAATCTGTACCTCCTCTACAGAAAGCTACTTCCTGAACGGAATACTTCAATTTCCTTTGGCTTACCCATAGCCAACTTGATCTTTGTGCCAAACTTTGTCCATTAGGCAAGGAAATCACAAATTATCCCAGTTTCCAGTTAAAATAATAAAACTCATTATCAATCAATAGTACAAAACACAGTATCCATTTCATCCTTATTTTGGACAATATTGTGGACAATGTCCTGTAAACTACGGTGTATGGAAACATCTAGGACTTTCCTTGGACTATGAATGAACTCTTATTTAAACTTAGAAAAGATAGTTTCAATGGGTATTGGAAATATTGCGCATACATGTGAATTCTGAAGAAATTAGGAAGCTTCTCATTTATCATCTATTATTATTATTATTATTATTATTATTATTATTATTATTATTATTA